TTCATTTTGAAATTAGGATCACCACGTCACCAGAGTCTAAGACAGTCAAATCCTTAACAACTGGGACAGTAACCACACCCAAATGAAACAAATAGAGTGATGAAAGGTAAGGAAGGGAGAGGATTCTACTGCCATTCCTTATGTGGTGGTTATGTTTTTGTGTCAACTTGGCTAGGCCTGGTTGAGTGGCTGGGCAGCTGGATGTAGTATTCCCCATGATGAGACTGGTAATCAACTCCATGGTGGGCTCTACTGTGAGCAGCTGAGTAGCTGCCTTTGGGTATGTGGTCTGCTTCCTGTATATAAGTCCCAGCTTTGGGAATGGTCTCTAGCTTATGGCACGCTTGGACCCTGCATGTAGCCGTGTCATTGCTCAGTAGCCTGCCATGCGCTGCCGACCTTGGGACTTACAATGGACTTAAGTTAATGGCCTGCTGTGTGGTTTGGTAACATTGGGACTGTATCTTTTCACTTGTCAACCTTGGGCTTCTCAGCCTCAGCAGCCAACAGTTATCTGAGTGAAGAAATGCCTCTAGCTCCAGTGGGCCAGGAGGAGGAAGCAGAGCTAGACCCCAAAGTTGAGGGGCTTTCACCCAGCCCCTAGAGCCTGGCACTTTGAACTTGGACTTATGGCCTCCAAATTGTAAGAATAAACTCCTGTTTGTTAAGGTCATCCCATTTGTGGTATATTCTTGTCAGAGTGGCACTAGGTAACCAAAACACCTTATTATAGAGATTCCTTGGCAGAGGTCAGTCCTAGATCATCAAGCTCCTAGGTCCTGGTGTTAGGTGGAAGAGGACATCTGAGTCATCTGCTGGATCATTGGATGGTGAGACACTGGGACTAGCCATCTGGAAAGAGGACACAGATTCTTTCCCCAGACAGCTGGAGAAGATGAGGAATAGCCCACCAAGGGGCAGAAAAAATACCAGCAGCCCAATCCTGGTAAAAAGTATCTCCAAACTCCCATTGAGTCACAATTTCAAGGATGCTATCAGACAAGAAGTCTTGAATTGTGATGTGCCACCCAGGAGACTGGAAGGAAGATAGTGATTGAAGCTGATGCCTCCAAAACCCCTCCCAGGAGGCAAAAACACCTCTTGAATACTCACTCCTTCGATTCTGTGAAACTGGAAGCATTCAGACCAAAAGCCAGATAGTAGAAACCCCAGTGGTCCCAGCTCATTGGATGCTACCATGAGGATCTGAGATACCCAGAGCTTCTGGGGCAGAGACAAGAAAGACTCAAAGGCCTTGGACACAGTGGGAACTTCCTCCTGATTCACGCAGACCTCCCAAAGCCCCATCATCTGGATCTCCATTTCGCTCAGTCCCAGATTTTTAGTTTTCCATGAGGCAAGACAGTGGTGACACATGAGCACACCCATCCAAGGCGGGAGAGGAGCAGTCCCCCTAGTTGGACTTTCCCATGGAAATGCTAAGCCATAGCTGATGCCACCAGAGAGGCAGAAAGAAATGGAGGATGGGGTGGTTTGCTGACTGGTTACTGGGGAGAGATTAGAGTGGAAGGTCTTTCATATTTGGAGAGGGTTCCTGTTTCAGTTTGCCAGATAGGTTCAGTGAGGCAGGAACCAGGAATTTGGCAATGTTTGCATTTAGGGCAAACTTTCCAAGGTTGGAAGTGGGTGTGGATTCTTGGAGAGGGTCCCATCAGAGGCAAACAACCATACAATAAGCCATTAATATATATTTGGTAAATAAATAAGTAAAGTTAAAAATAACTCCATAGTGCCTAGATTGCCAACAATAATGTTGTTGGGAATATACGTCAATATAATCTTTTGGGAGGGCAATATGACTACCTGTTTTGTACTCTTTAATGTATGCATACTTTCACATAGCACCCTATCTTCAGGAATTTATCCTAATTTATTTTGAATACACACATATTTATGAAAAAGTCCACTGAAATATTAACAGTTATTGAATACTGATCAAATCTAGGCAGACATTTTAAAGTGATGCTTAGAAGAAATTTTAATGACATGAAAAAAGTTTTTGATATGTTCTTAAGTGAGAAAAGTATGTGACCAAAGAATTTATTAAGAATGTGAAGTACAATTTCATGTTCATTGAAGTATGTAGATATGCATAATATATATATGTATACATACATACACATATATATAGGAGCTCTGGTAGC